GTGCTAAATAGTGGTCAATGTCATGAGACAAAGTGTATGTGATCTGCTGTATGGAAAGTGTATTTGCTCTGTAAATTTTCACCCAAATCACAATAAAAATAAAAATTCAAAACAGGTATTACTTCATGGTAGAAGCCCAAAGTCTGTAGTTAATTTGCTCATTGTTCTTCATGGAAAAAACTGTGCTCCTCATTACAACATGCACAAAGGTCATCCTGCCTGCAGGGGGCAATGTTGTCATAAGGCTCACGTTGGGTGCCTGCACATGCAGGAAATGGGCCCTCGACTCACTTTCTCCAGGACAAGCTGTGCGGCTACAACCTGAAGGGCTGAGGCCCCTTCCTCCTTCTGAGAAGACACTGTGGGGTTGGACATGGGCCTCATACAGAGAGGGTTCCCTCCCTCACCATGTCTCTCTATATGGGCCCATCAGGTCTACCCAGGGTAGCGACTAAAATCTGAGGTGCTCGCTGTGTGTAAGTAGAAAAGTCTGGAAGCGGAGCCGTATCTCCATCTTCAAATCTCAACCTGACTCTGGAATCCATGTTGAAGTTGCCTTTTCTAAGTACCGTTTCCCTAATGTTGGTGTTGACCTAACCAAATACCCAAAAGGAAACTTTTCTCTCTGTGGGCCGGCAGGTGCAGGGCATCACAATCTTATTCCCCAGGGGTCTTTCTGCTGTGGTTGAACAGATGCAAAATGCAACAGCTTAAGTCAAAGGGTCTTGAGGCACAGCATGGCTGATAAATCTTTACAATTGCACCCTCAGGGACAGACATGATCGAGAAAGCAATTTTGAAAGCTGGTCACCACAAACACCTGTGCTACCATTGTCCTGCCCATCCTGTAATAGGCTGAAGAGCTCATACACTTGTAATCACATCCATGTCACCAATCATGTAATCCCACATGTATGTTATCCACCTGGCCCTGCCAAGTCCTCACTCTTACATATCCCACCTTGGCCTCCCCTGATTTTCTTTCAGCTCCTCATGACTTTGTAAGACTAGTTCTGGCATCAACTGTACAAGAATGCTCTCTTCTTCCTTGTCCACTGGAGAGGCCATCTTCCCTCAGTGAATTTGGAAATCTTTATGGACCAGACCCTCTGTGGACCTTCAATACACCTCTTAATATTATTTTTCACAGGGTATGCTTTCACTCAAGGACACCCGAAACACTCTCAGGGAAACACTCCTCAATTTCAGGGTTTCTTCAGGGGATGCAACCTCCTGGGTATGTTACCTTCAGCCTCAGGCTGATCCTTCCCCTGCAGGATCGTTGGTCTGGGAGAAACACCATCTCTGCAGACAAGGCTGCTGTGTGGTTATTTCTAGACACATCTACCAGCACTTAAGGTCCATGATAAGCTCCAACTCTGTCTCAGAAATCACACCTCAGGGGCCCAGGCTTCTGGAGCTGTAGCCCTCAACATGTACCTGGTCCTATCTGCCCTCCCTCAGTCTCACCACTCCTGCTTTGCTCAAAAATGCCATGGTTTTGAGTCCAGATTGCTGAGGACTCGCTCTTGGGTGCTGTTCTCTTGGGTCATTCATCTCAACTAGGATTGTTTCTAACTTCCCTGGGCTCAAGACACCTACACTGCCCACCCACTGGGAGCTGTAACACTTACCACCAAGGTCATGGGAGGACCACACCATGTGGTGGCTGTGAGCACCATCAGTTGCAGGCTCGGTCTTGATTGAAGACATGTCCAGTTGGGAAAAGTGACTGCATGGAGGATAGAACCCAAGAGATACCTTCCTGGATGAGCTTAGTCCTGATGACAGGCTTGTGGGTGCTGCTTCCCAGGAGAGGGTCATAGAGGAACATTCTAATAGTGACCAAGATTTGGGACATCAGGGGACATAGATCAGGAGGTAGATGAGGTCACTGTGAGTTAGTGCACTGAGGTCCATTTTCCTGGGGACAGGGTCCTGGGCTAGAGATCATCTTAGTCTGAGTGAGGACAAAATTGGGGCTGAGAGGTCTTCTCCAGGCAAAGGTCCCAGTTGGGGAAGGAAGTCCTGGCCAGATAGCATAGTGGTGAATCCTGGACATTTGTCCATTGGATCAAGAAATAGTCATGGGACACCTAATGTATTTGAGAGACTCAGCCAGGTGATTGGGGCAGAGTGTTGAACAACACAGATGGTCCCTTCTGACTGGACGTTACAATATTCTTGAACCAGGATTCAGGAATCCCTGTCATGTGTGTGGAGGTAGAGCCTAGGAAATGAGCATTCTTCCAGAAGGAAGGTTTAGCACTTTCCATGAAGTCCCTAAAGGGCCCAGGAACCCAAGAGTTAAGCATCCATGGAACTAGAGCTTCCTCCCTACTGGCTGAGAGCTCAGACAAGCCCTCCCCACTGCAAGCTCAGCCTCCCCACTCTCTTCCCTCTCAGGCCCTTAGGGGAGTTAGGACACTGCTAGGAACGTGTCTGGCTCCTACTGGACATCAACACATGGAGATGGTTCTTGTTCTTAACTTCCTGATCATCCTGCCCAGAGATGTCAGTCCTTAGTTTCCAACTGAAGAGAAGAAGGTCTGGGAGAGGTGAGGAAGGAGGGGAGACTGCAACTATGGTCCTCAAACTCCTTGCTTTCCACCCTCTCAGAGGTGGTTTAAATACCATGTAATCTCTTGAAGATCTTTTGGTTGAAAATAAAAATATCCATCAGATTGTGTAAAACATTCCTATCACACCCAGAAATATTTGTGGAGAGACACACCTGATGGTGCAGAGGTTAAATGCTCAGCTATTAACCGAATGGGTGCTGTTGAAACCCACCCATGGCTCGGCAGGGGAAAGGACCTGGTGATTGGCTCCCAGAAACAATGTTGTTGTTGTTGTTGTTGTTGTTGTTGTTATGTGCTGTCGAGTCGGACCCGACTCATAAAGACCCCTCCTTGGGTTTCCGAGGCAGTATCAGTACGGAAGTAGATTGGTCAATCTTCCTTCCGAGGAGTGGCTGGTGGGTTTGAACCGCCAGCCTTCTGGTTAGCAGTCAAGAAAGATTACAGCCTAGGAAACGCTATGGGGCAGCTCTCCTCTGTCATTTATGGTCCCTATGAGTCTGAGTTCACTCAGTGACTCACAACAACAACAAATGTGTGCATGTGTGTGTGTGATAGATGTCTCTAATCAATAGAGACTGAACATCTGAATTTGACATACACCCTTTTTGAAAGGTCTTCTCAACCATTTGGAGTTTTTCTATTTCTTTCTTTAATCCTTTGATTTTGGTTCTATTCCATGTTCCTATCAAATTTATCCATTCATACATTTTTATACTTGAGAGCTTTTATTGAGAGTTTTATTCTGTCTCAGTTCTCTGTCATAAAGATGTGCACAAAAACTTAAATTGTACTTAATATTACAATAATACAAGTACTAAAATTTAATCTCCTTCCATAGTGATACTGCCTCGGAAACCCAAGGAGGGGTTGCTATGAGTCGGGTCCGACTTGATGGCACATAATAACAGCAACAACAAGCTATCATTATAATAATTATAAGGAAAACTTAATGAGATGCAACACAACATTGGAGATATAACTTCGGAAACCCAAGGAGGGGTGGTTATGAGTCAGAATCGACTTGACGACAATGAGTTTCTTTGTTTTGTTTTGCTTTTTTAGCTCCCTTAGGCATAGACGGATATCACTTGCTGCTAGATTGAGGCAGGGTTCTACCTTAGTTCTGACCTTGCTTTGGTTTTTTCTAGAAATGAGCAAAGTTCCTTGTTCTCATGAACAGGAGTGCTGTGATACGAGTGTCCCTCAACTGTGTCGACTCCTTCCTAGTTAAATACCAAAAATCATACACTGGTCAACTGTGTAACATTAGTTTCAATGCCCAACCAGGTGACAGCTGTATTAGGAACTTTTTCAATTTAGTTGAGAGAAAAGCAGTGGAAACCCCTGACTTCAAGGGAATTCATATGGAGAACATGGTGATCAGATACCAGACCCCCTTCTGGATGGGCGCCTTGTCCCGTACAGGAAGAGCCCTTTCTGGGTTGAGCCTGGGCACAGGAGCAATGTGACAAGATAGAAAAAAAGAATGAGAGAATGAAGCTTGTCACAGAACAAGGCCATGCAGGCTTTGAGAGTGTGACAGGCTCTCCTTGGGCTCAGGGAAGAGGAGATGGTGGGGTTGATGGTGTGTGCTGAAGGGGAGGTCCTCTCTTCTCTGCTGATCTTGGGTCCTGTCTCCTCTCAAATCTCAAGCTGCCTCCTGAGGCCCAATGAGAGCAGGTCTTATTTACATACAGGCTCTCTCCTCCCCTGGGGGACAACAGGGGCTGGGGACCCTGGCCAGCTCTGCCTCAGGAGCCAGAGATTAGACATCTGCATGGCCTGGACCCCTCTCCTTTTCCCCCTCCTCACTCTCTGCACAGGTGCTACCTTCCTGGCCCTGCCCTTGGACTCAACCCCACAGGCCCACCCCAAACCCTGACCTCATCCCAGCCGTGGCCTCAGGGGACACCTTCTGGGAATGAGCCCCTGGCCTTAGACTGTTCTCCTCCTTTTTATTGTAGGCTCCGTGGTCTCCTCTGAGCTGACTCAACCCCCCTCAGTGTCAGTGACCCTGGGACAGACGGCCAGCATCACCTGTTCTGGGGATAACATTGAGGATGCATATGCTCACTGGTACCAACAGAAGCCAGGCCAGGCCCCTGTGCTGCTCATCTATGAGAATACTGACCGGCCCTCAGGGATCCCTGACTGATGCTCTGGCTCCCAGTCGGGGAACATGGCCACCCTGACCATCAGCAGGGCCCAGGCTGAGGATGAGGCCGACTATTACTGTCAATCATTGGACAGTAGTTATGATCCTCATGGTGACACAGGCAGATGGGGAAGTGAGACACTAACCCTGCTGCTCTGTCTGTGTCACACTCTCCCTCTGAGCCAGAAGGACAGTGGACAAAGCATGAGCAGGCCTGGCCCAGTTCTCCAGATCTCAGTTCCCAGGCTACCTCCCTCACAGTCTCCAGGTACGCTCTGCAGAGGCGATGGGTATTTTTATTAGGCAGCAGACCCCAGATATCCTGCTAACATTTCATTGTTTACATTGACCTCTCCCTTCACTGGCTGTCCACCTACTGACTCCAAGGATGTGGCATTTGGCATCTCCAGTGTTCTGCAGGTCAGGCCCCACCAATGACCCACTGAGCATGACCTTCATTATAACAGTACCCATGTTGCTTCTGAGGGCTACCTGCCTCCCGTGACTTCTTGTTTAGGGGCATAACAACCTCTCTCACACTCAGGATCCAATTCTGTAGCATCACTGGCACCGGAATGGCCTCAGAGCCTCGTGGAGAAACTAGAGAGCCTCTCTCCCCACAGCTCAGGGCTCTCTGGATGGAGAGTCCTCAGGGTCCTGCAAGAGAGCCACCTGTGGGTGTCCTGACATCATCCATCCATCCACTCCATGTGCCACATCTCTGAGCCTTCTCAACCTTCTCCACCATCCACCATGGTGGTTCTGTCCCTTGCATCTGATGTGAGACCTGAGTTCTCCACATGCTCAGAGCCAACCAAGCAACATGTCACACCATCTCTGAGTGCTGTCAGTGGATCAGACCCTGTTTCCCAGCAGAAGACTCCCACGTTTACAAACGCCACTCACCCAATTTCCCTTCTGTACCCTTGATCCACATGCTCAGAATCCAGGCACATACACACTGCCTGGTTCCCGGGGCACCTGCTGTGGAGGCCTTGCAACCAGCCACTCTAGGTGAGGACCCATGTCCTCCTTATCAGGCCAAGAGTTCCCAGTTAGACTGGGTGATGACTTAAGGGTCTACCCTCTGCCTCCTCTCAGCATCTCCTTCCTCCGCCCAATGAACAGCCTTGCCCAGGATGCCACACCCTGAAACACTATCGGAAGCTGAGATTTCCAGCTGCAGCAGAGGCACAGGCAACACAGCAGACAGCACTGAAGACATCAGTCCTTCACTGCCATGTGAGAACTGGCCAAGCCTTCAAGTCCCTGTTGAGTTCACCCTTGGACATCCAGAAGGACCTCTGAGGAGGCCTCAGCACCACCAAGCCTCAAATGAGCATCTCTGATGTCATTTTTTTTTTAGAAGCCCTGGTGGCATAGTGCCTAAGGCATTTGACTGCTAACCAGAAGGTTGGTGGTTCAAACCC